CCCCCCCCCCCCCCCCCCCCCCCCCCCCCCCCCCCCCCCCCCCCCCCCCCCCCCCCCCCCCCCCCCCCCCCCCGCCCAGGAACAACTCAGTTGCGGTTGGTCGCATGCGTTTGGAGACCAAGGAAGAATGGAGAGAGGTCTGAGTCTGTTCCGATGATTGTGGAATAAATAGAGGCGATCTGAGGGTGAAGTGGCTGGGTGTGGCAGCGAGGCCGTCAGTGACTGGACCGTCTCATGTTGTCGCCCTGCTTATAACGAGCAGACGACAGCGTGCCGTGAATGAACATGACCTGTGTGAAAGGAGCGCCCGATCAGAAGAATTTAATTTCATGGATATAAAACAAGATGTCCTGCCCCTTGTGTACATGCAGCCCCGCCAGCGCCAATGCTTTAGCCACCCCCCTAAATACATACATCCATCCATCCAACATGAGGCTCATATAAAACTTTTTCGCGTTCGTGCACATGCAGACGTACTCACTCACTCATTGAGCGCCTGCAACGCCTGCGTCAGGGGTACAACCCTCAGACTCCTCCCTCTGCGCAACCCGCCAGTCTCTTTCATCACAGTCGGGCTGCGCTTGTCTTCCCACTTGCGGAAAACCCTCTTCAAGTCTCGGGGCACACCCTCCAGGACCACCGTGCTGGTGGGCACGAAGGGCCTGTCCTCCATGCTGGCGGCAAGGATCGCGTATTCTTGTGCAAACTCGAGAGCGTTGCGGAACGACGCGAAGTTGGACCCTGTGCGGGAGCCAACTATGACGTACATCTCGAAAAAGGCGTCGAGCACATAGATGTGTGTGGACAGAAGATCGGCCTGGCTGAATGGCGAAATCTCGTAGATCTATGAGGTCGCGTTAGCACGGAACGTCAACGCGGGCCAAGCTGCCTTACCTGCTGGCGCGAATCGGCATCAGAGCAGAACAGTCTGCCGCCGTATTTCTCATACTTTGGCTTCAGTCTCCAGTGATCAGCCGAATGAGGCTTCGTGCCTGGGGCGAACAGGTTCCAGAAAGCGTCTGGTTCAGACTCTTCGTCGCACTCGACGAGCTCGCCCGAGGGCGAGAGCTCCATGCCGATGAGTCGTGCGCAACTGAGTTCATCGACGGCGCTTCCTTTGCCCTTCCACAAGAAGCATTTGCCAGCCTCAGTAATTAGGTAAGGAAACCCAGCACAGAGGCTGCTCTGGAGGAAGTCGACCTCGTCAAAGACGACCTCCCCCAGATGGCGTCGACCGCATAGCATCCTCTTGGCAGTGGGTTCGAAGTTATTGCTCGAGCCTCGTAGAACAACAATGGCTCCGCCCAAGGCCTGCAGGAACTCTGAAGTCTCGCTTCCTTGTGTAAGTCTGACCATCCTTCCGCCCCTTGACTTTGCCTCTCTTTGTGCAAAGAGCTGTGCGTCATCTGCTGTCGCGCGAGGAACTCCGTCGCCCACCCAGAAATAGACGTTTAGGGTCTGAGCCCCTGACTCACTCATAAAATCATGTGTGCAGATGTACATTTCATCTTCGAATAGCGTTCGTTCAAACTGTTGCTGTATATCAAGCGTCTTGCCCTCCCCTGAGAGTTGGACCATTCGTACATCCAAGGTCTTGACTTTACCATGACCATTAGACTTCGAGGCCAAAAGCTCAGCTGCATCGAATTTGCAGTTCTGTTGAGGGCGACCAGGCCCGAAGAACTGTGTCAATATGGTCGACAGTTCACTGCTGGCCTTAGTGGGCGAGCGAACCGGCGATCTGCTGATAGGAGAACGCACGCTCGCAGCCGTTGGAGTAGGCAGTGCTCGCGTGGGTGATCCCGGCGATCTCGACATACTAGGCAGCAAGTCCCGATCAAAGGTTTCAGGGGGAGACTCGCGGGTGCTAGAGGGCGACTTGACACCGCCACCAAATCGCGAAGCCGCACTTCGCACAGGCACTGTGTGCTCGCGGTCCACCTTGGTGGGCGACAGCGGTTGTGGCTCCAGCGGGCGCTCAACCTTGGTCGGTGACCTCGAGCCAGTACGCTGGTGAGTCATCCTGATCGGCTGGGGAACAGAGTCCGCACGGCTGCGGACAGCAGAGTCGTCCAGGAACCTGGACATGCGATTCATGTCGAGCTTACGCGGTGATTCCGGCTGCGACACATCACCTCCAGTCTTGTGGGGTTTGATTGGCGACACGGGCGCAGCTGTAGGCTTGTCGGCTCCGGTGGGTTGGCCGCGGATTGGAAGGACGCGAGTTGGTCCTGCATCAGGGGTCCTGGTGCCGATACTCAGAGGCGTCGGGCGACCTTGAGGCGAGACTTTCTCCGGTGTCCTGCTGACAGAAGGTTTAGTTAAAGGCTTCGGCGCTACTTTTGGCGAAGTCGACTTTGTCCCGTGGCTTTGTGGAGGAACTGGCAGAGCTCGCACAGGTGTGCGAGCTTCCTCGGGGCCAGACTCAGAATGGTCTTGCTGATGCGACTTGACCTCTGGTGCCTTTTGCGGCTGAGTAGACGCTGCGGTCGTGGGTGCTTTCCTCTTAGGGCCGCGCGCACGACCCTTAGTCATGTGTGTCAGTTGAGGTCCAGGCTTTGATGGTTCATCAGGACCACTGGTCGGTGTCGCCTCGGTTGCGTTCCGAGACTCTCTCGATCCTTCAGAGGACGCGGGAGGTGGCCCTCTCGCGAGTATGCCCGCCAGTGCAGGGTTGAATCGATCGGCCAACTTGCCGCCTCCGACACGGCCTTGAAGGGACGACGGCGCGCTGGTCTCTTTTGGAAGACTTGGTACGCGACGGGTGGTCGGGTCAGAAGGGCTTGCAGCGGGTTCCGTAGAGACCCTTGTGAGACGCTCGGGAGAAGGGCTCGTCACATGTTGCGCCTGAGGTGACGAGGCCCCTAGTGACGATACTGACGATGGCTTCGGCGCGGGGGAGGGCTTGGGAGCGTCGGAGTTTCCCGACCCTGTGGTATTGCCTCTAGCATTTGGAAGCTTACCAAGCTCGCTTCGACGTGCTAGTCCTTCTGGCAGGGGTTTATTGGCATCAGTTACAGGGGTTCGGGTAACACCCTTCCCCTCATGCTGTGCCTTTTTAAAGTCTTCCTTCTTCTTAAGAATTGCATCCTTGAATTCATCCTTGCGCACTGACTTTTGTGGTCCATCTGTTACGTTGAGCGCGTTCTTGCCTCGAAGGATGTTACCCTTGAGCTCATCCGGAGCCACGTAATTCTGGGTCTTGGTTCGACGCAAGTTGCCAAGGGCGTTTTTGAACTCTGGCTCGGCAGCTTGTGAGCGGCCAGAATCTGTAGGCCGCTGCCGAAGATTTGCTCGAAAGTCCTTGGGGGGCGTCTGGGGTTTCGGCTTAGGAGCGGGTGATTTAGCCACGGGCGTGGATCCTTCAGCTGCCAGAGGCTCGGCAGAATCATCGTCCCCGCTAGCCGCAGCCTGTGGCTCTTGCTTGGCCTCAGTTTTGATGTGTGAGGGCTTCGAGGGGATTCTGGGGCCCAACGATGGCCTATTGCCTCTAGCTGGTGGCGAGTAGATGCCTCCAAGGTCAGTCGTGTTGGACTTGACTCCAGTACCCATAGGGGAAGACCTCAGAAGACCGCCGATGCTGACCTGATGGCGATGAGACACTGATGCAGGGCGCCCAGTGTCGTTCTCTGCGGTACTGCCAGCCTTTCGGTTCAACTGTTCCTTCCAAGCTGGTTGGCTCGGTGTCTGAGGCTTGGGCTGGGGCTTTGGCGACTCGGGCCTGTTGAGGGCCGTCTCTAGCCAGCTCGATTTGGTCGGACTCCACCTCCTCGTGTCCATGGTCTTGGAGGGGCTCACAGGTACTGCAGTATCGTTGGTGTGGGAATCGCCCTCTGTCCCCGCTGGCGAGGTCACCTCTGACACTGCAGTGGTGTCTCCGCTACTGGCTTGTCGTTCGCCGTGCTGCGAGGTTGGTCGACTCAAGCTCGGGGTCTTGGAATGGCTGCGGGGAAACGTAGGTCGATCACGGCCGGTGCCATTGCGGCTTGGGGTGACCGTGTCTGCTCTCGTAAGGCCAGACGTTTGTACACTCCACCGTTTCACGCTGTCAGATCTTTTCATCATAGCACTCTGAACGAAGCCACCCATTCCTTTGGTAGGTGAAGTGGGTCGGCTTGAGGGCAACTCGGTTGGCGATTTGAGTGGGAGCTCATCGGAAGACGGCTCGAAAGACCTGTCGAAACTGGACTCAGATATAGGGAGGGGCGAAGCCAGCCCCTCGCGAGCGGTCACAGTCGTTGTCGAGCTAGTGGCCGACGTCGATCGCTCTCTGGTAGTGTCAGACATACCAGGCAGCTGAGCCCTGCCCGAGCTCACATCTGAGCGCTCGTCATCCTCCACCTGATTGCGCCTGTATGCTGCTGAACCCTGTCCCCTATCAGAGGTCTGGCGAAACCAGGACGGGTCCTTGGCCAGGAGGTTTTGCGCAATCTGGTCCCTCGAGAAGCTGGGTTCGGTTGCTGAGAGTGGCGCGGGTTCTGGCGACCCTACAAGGGACCTCTGGGTTGCGTTTTGGGCGGCAACCATGCTCAGAGGCCTGGTACCGCCTCGTGATGTCGGTCTTCTCTGCCACGACAATGCGTTGGAGCGCGCAGGTGGTGTGCTTCGCTTGTCGGCATCGGCAGGTGACTCGTTCTCCTTTGTAGGGGACGAAAAGGCCATGTTTTCCGAATCGCCTTCTGTGTAGGCGAAGGATAGTTCCGTCGAGTCCTCAAGAGCGGCCGGCAAATCGACCCGTGGTGGTTCCCCGACTCGTGAGGTCTGGCGACTCGATCGTGGTGACGGCGTGTTTGCTGGCGAGGATTTCTGTGGAGATATCGACCTGGCGCGTTCTGCGCGTCAAGGGCATTAGCTTCGCTCTGGTATAAACAATGGCACTGAGAGTCCGGACGAAAATGGTCAGGAAAGTGGGCGCACATGTCGCACGAAAGTGAATGCGCAACAAGTGTAGCAGAAGTCTGGAGGGCCGCCGACATGAGCGCGCCACCCCAGCAACTAACTACGCTTGCCAGACGGAGGTGTGTCATGGGCTATGCCATACCATGCGGTGGATATGGGTATCAAGGAGATTATTACGCACCTTCTCTTCGGGCCTGACGCTCTCGCTTGGCAGCCAGATACTCTTCTAGTTCACGGGCGCGGACCTCGTCTTCTTCAATTTGCTGGCCTCGAAGGCGCTCGACAGATTCGAGGAATTGGGAAACTTCGTCTGACATCGCAATGGCGGCTCGGCATGACAAGGACCGCGTGTGCTGAAGATGTCCTGCAAAGGTCGTGATCTACCACTGTAAATCAAATCGTTGACCGTCCAGGAGTGAGAAAGCGAAGGATACTGGTATAAAGAGTACGAAAAATGTACTTGTACGCACGTGGGTGAGACAGGCCAGCCTGCAATGTTCAGGCACTTCCGCCCTTGTCTTTTGGTGACGTCCGGCGACTGGAGGTGGCCGCTCCAGTCCAGGCACAGGACGCTAACTACCTAGGTACCTAATAACCCGCCAACAGCCCACCAACGGCTGGCTACCTGGTACCTTACCAAGGCCGCTGAACCTGCGACCAGCCTGGATTGAATCAAGACACATGTATTGTGCATGAAGTGAATTCATCTTTATGTGCTCCTTGCTGTCATTCGATGCATTATTGGCTCTTGCACCTATTCAAGCCAGTACTTGCGTTCAACCCTGCGGATTTGCTCCATATGGAGACAGTTCCCTAACGTAAGGCGATTGGGACCGGTTGGTCCCGTGGCGCTTTGTTTACTTGCGCTGCGCCGAGTAAACACAGCCAACAAACCCCGCGTTGCGATCGTTGCCCCGATGTCGTCGTCAATATCTGACCATCGAAGTCTAATATGTCCCGGTTATCCGTCATTATTGGCCCAAGCAAGTGATATTCCTTGTTCCACTCATGCTCGCCCAGCAAAGTCTGCCATGGTTTCGGGTCAATCAGTGAAAACCCCTCATGGCGACCGTCATAAAGGCCAGACCACAATCAGACTAGCTGGACGTGAGACAACAAGAATGTCAGGGGGAGCCTCAGTAGAGGAACAGCCTCTTTTTGGCGTCCGCAACAACCCACGCAAGGCCTTCCTTGAGATTTTTCCCAGACATGGCGCTGCACTGCATAACTTCCCACCCATGTGTCCGTATCGACTCTAGATCGAGTGCCTGCATCGTCAGCTATTTATCCCACAAACTCAAACATGACCATGACGGTGCTCACAGTCATGATCTCTCTCTCGTCCATACAACCGGCGACGTCTGTCTTGTTGGCGAATACTAGTAGACTGGCCCCAGCCAGACGCTGTGGTTGTCAGCCCAGCGTATATGAACTTTCGCCTGCAAACCTACCTCCTCTTGGAGCAAACCGTGGAGCTCCTCGCGACAATCTTCGGTCCTGAGTCGATCTGTTGCATCTACCACCCAGATCAACGCATCCGTCTTCTCAAAGTAATTCCGCCAGTACGACCGCAGCGTTTTCTGTCCGCCGACATCCCCTGCTAGAGTGAGACGCTGCACATCCGCGTGTCTGGGTGGGCCCTCACATATGTTGAGCTTGTACCCGTCGTAATCGATGGTCTTGATGATGAAGCCCAAGGTTGGACTGACTGTATTCACGTCCTCCCCCATGATTTTCTTGACAATTGTAGTCTTGCCGGCATTGTCAAGGCCACTGGCACCCGGGTCAGTCGAGTGCTAGAGCGGATGGGCTTCATGTGCGACTTTACAGCATGAGGATGCGCATCTCCTTGTCCTTGAGCCGCGCTTTTCTGAGAATCGACAGCATCCTGCTTCACTGGGTTGGTGCGCGGGGCAATCGGGACTTCAGCACGTGGACAGCTGAGATTTCTACGAATGAAGATGGATTTGGCAAATCAATTTGAACGCCGGACGTTTTGTGCTATGAGTGATTGAGGACTGACGAATGCCTTCTCTGTCGTATCAGAAGACTGGACGTAACGTTCCGCGTCAGGCTGCTGTGTCTTACCCTGAACCTCGACCTGCAGGCCAACAACACTCAACCCGGGCAAGGGGATCAACATTTGGACAGCAGAGTTCGCAGAGACCTTGAAAAGGTCTAAATTCTTTGTGAGCAGTATTGATAACATGGAAGTATATCAATACGAGCCAAGTGTTTTCCATTGCCCGGAGATCTCAAGCAACAATCCCTAACGGTACATCTCATAACAAGCTGACACTGACAAGCAACTTTCGCTCCGCGCCTTCATGTTAATCCTCAAACACAGATCAGTGTACATAATCTTCCCACCACGTCCAACCTCCATCGTACAAGCGATTACACATCCTCCAAGTAAGTCCCAGGAGCTTTGTCGCGCACAACTACGCGCGTCTTCAACTGCCACAGCTGCAGATCGAGCCAGGCACTGTCGCTCCCACGATCGGTGCGCACAACCATGTCGAGGTGAGCGACCTTTTCAAAGTCGAGCCTCTCCAGCAGTTCAGACTTGCAGGCCCCGTTTGCCACCTCGCAGCGGTGCACAAGTACCTCCACAAACAGATGGGCATAGTCGCGGACGTTGAAGTTCCGCATCCGCGAATAGATGGATCTCTCGTCTTCACATTGCCACTTGTAGTCGATCTGGCCCTGATACCCTGTGATGACCCTCGTCAAGACACAGTCAAGCAAGCTCTGGCCAATCTTCTGACGGCGATATTCTGGGTGTACCACGACACGAATCTGACCCGAGTGGCGGGACGCAGGGCATGGTGTTTTCAGAAAACCTACCCGTGCCTCATCCACGAACGCGAATCCTACCACCTTTTCTGCCTCGCATGGCTGGGCAGCTCGGAATTTGACATACTCTTCATGGGCCTTTCCACCGCCCTTGGGCCAGTTGTGGAGATGCAGCAAGACATCCTCCTGGAAAGCGACAACAAAAGGCCGGTAGTTGCGGATGCTCTCCTCGAAGATGTAGCGGACGTCTTCGGCAGTGATCGGAGCCGATGCGATGATCTGGGGCGCCTTCTCAGCCTGGCTCTCCATCGTCATGATCTCTGCAATCTGCGCTGTGTCTCCGATTGCAGCCGGTCGAATAGGATAATCTGACACTGGCCACTCGGGAGTAGGGGTGCCCTCAGCTTCAAGTCGAGCCCATTCTTCATCAATCTCTCTCTGGCGATTCTGGTAGTCCACTCTTCTTTTGACTTCAAGTTCTCGCCTGATGTGGAGGGCAGATGTCATATTTAGGCGCTTCCACTGCATTTCCGCATCCCCATCCAAGTCAGGGGAAGGTACCGTGCTGGGGTACTCGCACTGCTGCAAAAGTTCGCCCGATTCTGTGTCAATGGGCTGATACTGCGTTTCTGGATCGCTAAATTTGACCGTGGGATCAGGGTGCTTCGAGACGCGAATTGCATGGAGCCATGCGTGTACAAAATGCGCCGAGTTTGGTTGCAATTCATTGCTGCCCCATGAATCAAGTCCGTCAGCCTTGAGAGAACACTCATCGTCCCTATTGTCGCTGTTCAACGACCATGTCTCGGGACTTCCCTGACATTCATGCTCAAACAAAGTCTGATCATCTTTGTAGGAATATACGGCTGTTGAGGACTCCGGCTTGAGCTGCAAACTTTGTGTTTCGTTTGACGCATCATGTATATGGCCATCCGAGGATTTATCACCAATGTCCGAATGGGTTGATCTAACGATGACGGATTTCGCAGTGATAGGGATGGAAAGATGCTTGCTTGTGCACTGATCATCACCAAAGCAGTTTGGGCCAGAATTGTCTGGCGAAAATCCCAGTCGGGGAGTCAGATCCTGCTGTTTCTCCTCCAAGATTGGCGTTGTGTACGCCGTGATCGATGCAGCTGCCACGTTGGTCGGCATAGCTAGCCATTCACTTGCGCCGTTGATGGCAGCACTGACGGCCAATCGGGGGCTTGGCTTCGATCCTTTGGCCATATTGGTTCTAGGAGTGCTCTTTGGGCAAGTTAGCGTTGAAGAGACAAGTGAAAGCAAGAGGCATACTTTGTCGGTAGGAGACATTTGAGTGAGCGTGGTTCGAGGCCTTGCACGCCGGCCCAAAGAGAGGCTGATGCTGTGTATGCCTTCAGGGCTACCAGTGTCTAAGCTTCTGAAAGTTTTGAAATAAACCAAGGCCAAGGTGAGCTGGGTAATGATAGGGTGTGTGGGTATCTGTGGCTTGCTGAGATTGATTGGTTTGTTAGAACGGGGGATCGTGAGGGCAATGAACAGTCGTGTCACAGGGAAAGGTTTCGATAGACAGCTGGGAGAAGGAGGGGAACAGGCGCTTATCGATTTGTTGCCCTGCCATTGTTTGTGAGTATTGATCACAAACCTCAGACGAAAAAGAAGTGAGCGACCGTGGGCGGAAATCAACTGATGTTTGTTTAGCATCGCGTCAGAGGCCACTTTAAGGACTCGCCTGTGACATAAGACCTACCCTGAAAGTTCCTACCGTCGAGAGCGACTTGGACAATGTTTCTTGAGCCTCGAATCTAGAATCTGTTCGAGGTGCATTGAGCATCCCTAGAGTTGATGAAGCAACAGCGCGAATATCTAAGTGAAATCGCTTTAATAGAAACATCAACTAGTAGTCGCAGCACAAGGTTGCGCGGTCGATCTGTAGAATAGTGTTAGGTGTCCTAGTAGTGGTAGTAGTAATTGTTGTTGTTGCGCCCAGACCCTACCCCTTTTCCCCTTGATTGTTGATATCATCACACTGGATGATAGAAGCATACCGGTAGAAAGTGTACCAAGGCCACAACGCGGAAGTTGAATCCAAACGACAGGCTCTCGAGTTCAATCAGTTGTACTTTACATTGCACACAATGAAATTTCATAATACCTTGGTGATTAGTACTGTTATTTGCTCCGTTGACTCGTTGAAAGGGGCTAGCGCTAGATAGTGTTTCGAGTGGCAGTCACCGCCGAAGTCGGTGTGGGGTCCGCTTATCGTCGCCTTTTTGACAATCTTTTGGCGGCACAGCGTCCAGCCGTCACATAGGTACTTCACCGCTCGCTTCTTTTGCCCATTGCCAGCCACTCGCTGCTGTCGCGCTCTCGATAAGCCGGCAACGTCTTTGAGTTAGACTGTCCTTAATTTTTTTATTTTTTTTCGCCGGCGAAAACCTACCGCTCTCCTTCGAACCTCTGGACGCGTGCGCCAGCGCCCGCCATACAGACCGACCAGCAAGATGTCGGCGTCGTTGCCTGGGAGCCGCGAGCTGCCGCAGTCGCAGTATGATCTGAAGACGTACATGGGCCGAGTGAGGCATTCGGTCGGCATGACGGATCCCAGGTGAGAGACAGCACCGGCCCGGCGGCTGTGATGATCGATCGGCGCGCGCGACCACTTGCGACAAGACGCTAACACGATCAAGCACACTCTTTGCTGGCTCCTCTGGCTTGGAAAAGGCGAAGCGATTGGTGACGGATTACAAGACTGGCAAGATCGAAAACATGTCGCCGGAGCTGTGGCACGCCAAAAAGGTCGTCGACTCGACTCTTCACCCCGGTACGATCGCAGAGCAACGGGCCAAATCGAGCCTCCACTGATCTTCGCGTGTGGCAGATACCGGCGAGCCCGTCCTTCTGCCCTTCCGAATGTCGTCCTTTGTCTTGTCCAACCTCGTCGTCACTGCGGGCATGCTGCAGCCTGGGCTCTCGACCTTGGGCACCGTCGGCTGGCAAGTCGCTAACCAGAGTCTCAACGTCGCCATTAACACCGCCAATGCCAACAAGTCCTCGCCAATGACCACGGCAGACATGGCCAAGTCGTATGCCGTTGCGGTCAGCGCGTCTTGCTCTGTGGCCCTGGGTCTGAATGCCGTCGTGCCGCGACTCAAGGTGTCGCCGGGTGCGCGCAACATCTTGAAGAGACTGGTGCCCTTTGCTGCGGTCGCGTCAGCTGGTGCCTTGAATGCGTACCTTATGCGCCGCGGAGAGATCGTCACTGGCATCGACGTGAAGCCGGTGCTCTCCGACGCCGAGAAGAAGAAGCTGCAGGAGGAAAGCAAGTCAGAGCGCGATGTCCCATCGCTGGGCAGGAGTCAGAAGGCCGCGAAGCTGGCTGTGTACGAGACGGCTGCCAGTCGTGTCTTCAACAACAGCCCCATCATGATTCTGCCAGCCATGGGTCTCTACTACATTGAGTCCAAGGCAAACTGGTACAAGAACATTCTGGAGAAGGAATTCTTCAAGGCACGACCTAGGGCCAGGGCTGCGCTCCCAATAGGCCTCAATCTGGGTCTGATTGCTGCGACTTCGTTCTGCGCGTTGCCATTGGCCCTGGCTGTCTTCCCTCAGCAGCAGGAAATCAGCGCAGACAAGCTGGAGCCCGAATTCCACGGCAAAGGCGGCGTAGACGGCAAGGTCATCTTCAATCGCGGTTTGTAGAGCATCGGCGGCAGAATAGAACTAAGCGAATGCCCCATCGACATGTTGAACTGCGCGATGTCTTCGAAGGTTGGGCTTTGCTTTCGTGACTGGCCACTGTCTCCAGCCGAGCACGGCACGGCAACCGCCACCACGTGGATCGACAATGTGAAATACTTCGCAGCACTATATGTAAAAGGTGAATAATGACAAATGCCGCCGCTCTATGGGGTATCGCATGAGTTTACCCGTCAAATGAACCAACTCCTCCCATCCGTGAACCATCCGCCGTTTTCCCTCATACTGTATACACATCATTCGTCTACTCTGGACCACGGCAGATGCGACGGCCTCTCTGGACCCCATGATCTACAGGGAACCAACCGTCGTGTCAATTCCAGACGCAACCGCCTTTGACGCTGAATCAATATTCGCGGGGACAGCCATGGGACGACCCTGGGCTTTTTCGGACAGCGCGACGAGTTCATGGAGCATCTTCTCACGGGTGGTACGGGTCAGCTCGTCGACGTCGGCAGCGGTAAGGCCAGTGGTAGGGATAGGGTCAAGAACTATGGCACGTTAGTCTTCCGAGATGATGTTCAAAGCAAAACCAACGACTCACCTTTAATAGGAATCTTGCCCGACCTGAAGAGCAGATTTTTGACGAAGAGCACATGGCTGTAATTGGCGACTACCACGGGCACAATCGGCACACCAGCCTGCACTGCCAAGTGGAAGGCCCCCTTCTTGAAGGGGAGCAGCGTGGGATCCTTGGCATAGCTCCTTGTACCTTCAGGGAACATGTACACGCTCTGCTTCTTGGCGCGAATCTCATCTGCGGCGCCCTTCATAGCCTCGCGGGCATCCTTGGCGTTCTTACGGTCAATGAAGATGCTGCCGCTCAAGCTCATGAACCATCCCAAGAAGGGCGTCTTCTTGAGCGAGGACTTGGCTGTGACGCTGCAGTACTTGGGGAACATAGCCCCGAGCATGAGCACATCCAGCTCCGTCTGGTGGTTCCCGATGAAGACGGCGGGGCGGGTCGTGCCGAGGATGTCCTTGGGATCGTCGACCGTGAAGCATACACCCGTCGACCAGTACATTGTAAAGTGGAAGAATCGCGCCGTCGCCCATTGCGAGATTTGCTGGTAGCCGAGTAGGGTGAGGACGATCGAGGACAGCACGCCGAACACGGCGGCGACGATGAGATTCGCATACGAAGCCAGGACACGGGCGGCGAACCCAGCTTTCGGCACGACAAAGGAGAGCGCATACATCGCGACTGTGAGGGCGAGGTAGCCAAGTAGGCCCGTCGAAAGGGCGCTGGTGAAGGACATGGCAGTAGCTGGTGCAACTTCGGGGGGCGACACGCGCCGTGTTACTGCTTCACAGATGAAGTTGAGTTCGTCAAGACAAAAACATGTCCTGGTCAAAGGAACGACTGTGAAGAAGTAATGACAGCTGGACGAGAGAGAGGAAAACAGCCACGCGACGTCGTAGGTGGTGGGGTCGATGGAGGCAGGAGGACATCAGTCTCGGTCCAGCTTTCAGGTCGCCGTTTGCGCGGGCACGGGCGGTGAGCGTGACCCCACCAAACAGCCCGCCAGACGTCACTGACACATGTCATTCAAGGCCCACACTCTAACCAACTTACACCAAGCATCGGCATTCATACTTGAATAATGGTGGTCATTGGAGTGGATGTGTTACTTGTAGCCTCCAGACCTCAGGGGTCGCGAATTTATTAGAAGACCGCCTCATTCGGGCCGCGATCATAGTCTAAGTCACACCTGACGAAGGAGCGCCCATAGTGCCGCTCATGGTGTCTGACTAGGGTATCACGTGTAGGCCAAGCTGATGGCGGGTGCCGCCCGATAAGATAGTGGACTGAACAGGGGAATCATCAGGGTCGCCTCCACCCCCATCAAGAGAGCAGCTCACCATCAAAGACACGATCGATTTGAGGGCAGATCTACTCACTGTATGACGAAGCTACCTTGCCATATTGTTCATCTGCACGGTCACACCCATCGTCTACGAGGATCGATCGCGATCAGCCAGCGCGCCTGACCCGAATGACCCCGTAATCCGACGAGACCCTCCACCATAGTATTCGCAGCTAGATCATGCGCCTCGACATCTAGCTAGCTCGCCATCATGACCTCGAGTCGCCGAGGGCAGTCACCCCTTACTATATCTCTCCCTCCAGCCGGGAGTTCCAGCCACCCGCCCGATCCCCCCCCAATCGACGCTCTATTCCTTATAGACTTTGATGTCAAGAAAGGCTACACGATCGCCTGGCAGCAGACTGTGCCCGGTGTTAATGTCGATGGACGAGTCGAATATAAATCTCTTCCTTCTGGGCTACACACAGTCTCGGAGGATCTCATCTACTTTGTGCACGAGGGCGCGCATGCGGGTCTCAGCGCCTTTATCAATGTGCCCTGTGAAGAGGAGGAGTCGAGGCACGCGCGCATGATCGCCGTTGGAGTGCTGGTACCATTGAGTTACGGACGATTGGGACGCGCCTGGAGACATGCACAAGGACTGAAGGGTCTAGCCAAGTAAGCACAGCAGCCCCCGTGTGATAGTCAACCGAGCTTCAGCTAACTCAGTGCAGCGAATTGGCCAAGGATCGCACCAACACAGAATTACTCGACACCTACTGGAAGTCGAATAAGCTTGAAAAAGACGATCCGAAACCCCCGGCCACGTCTGGGGAGACACCCATCACGACACCCGCTGTTACGTTCTCCGAGCCTAATGAGCAACCCCAGAGGAAGGGTCACTACAGAAACCGCTCAGGCTCGGACGGCGCGTCTCTCGCCCCAGCGGAGCACAGGCTATCGCCGTATCACCCAGCCTGGAGACTGACGAGCTTGTTAGACAAGTATGGACCGTTGATCTTCCCAATCCACAGAGCCGCGTTGCTAAGGCAGCGCATCCTCATCTCTTGCCATGCACCTGTTCAGGAGATCTGTGACTTTGGTCAGCCCTTCGCGCTCCGGACGCTGCTCTCCCCTGGCTAACCGAAACAGTGTACAACTTGTCCATTCTCTCAAACGTCCCTCTATCTCTCACGAATATACTCCCCGAGCACTCGCCTACGCAACGACTGAGACCTCTTTTTACCATTGGCGTGCATGACATCCCTTTTTTGACAGAAGACTATGAAGCTCTGAAACGACGAGGACAAAGCGAACACGCCATTGACGACGACGACTTGGACGATGAGACCGGAACTGGCTGGGTTGCCTGCACGACCGACTCTATCCTAGCTATGAAAGACACGCTCTGGGACATGCTCATCACCATGCCCCCCGAGCATTCGAGCCACGCCAAGGACAAAGTGTGGCCTACAGTCGAGTGCCCCAAGGGAGTGCCCGTTCGCGCAACCCAGCGTGATCTGCGTCGCTTCAACACTCTACGTGCCGGCCTCTTCCAGCTCGCCGACACCCCGTTGTCCCCCAACGGAGTGCGTGCGTCAACGAGCCACTCCAACCGCTCAACTCGGCACTTTGACCACGCCGACGACTCTTTCGACAAGGTCATTGAACCGCTCAGCTGGGCCGCTCTCGCCTACAACGGCTACATGTGGTGGGCTTCGGCCGGCGAGCAACTCCACTCCGAGGAGCAGGAAGAGACCTCCCGCGACACCGCACTGCTCGCCGACCTCACGCCGCACACGCCCACCATGACGATGCCCACGTCTCGTTCAGACCCTACATACGAGTCACTAGCATCCCTGGCTGCCCTGCGTCACCAGAAGTCGATGCTGTCCGCCGAGGCGGACGAAGCGCGCGTTGAGCTGGCCATCGTTGCCTACTTTCACCGTCTCACGACGCAGATACTCTCCGTCATGTCTGATATCATCGAAGAAGTGGATGAGGCGTACCCCGACAACGAGCACAGCGGCACACCTACAGAGGAGGGCGACGCGCTCCTCGGTGACAGTCGTCTGCAGCCACGTGCTGTCATGGTGGACAGTCGATCAGTCGAAAACATGGGACTGGATGTATGGAGTGATGCCGATGCGACGTTTGTCAAGGACCTGATGAGGGTGTATTTTGACAGGCTGGCTAAAGTCGAGGGCAAGGGTGTCGAGATATGTGGAGTGCGGGTGTGCTAGATGCATGCTTTATATAGAGCCCTCGCGTATACGTCGTCTCTCTTGCGAGGGGAATGTGGTAATAGGCCGTCTACGAGCGAGGTTTATCGGTGTACATAAAGAATATAGAAAAGGTGATCATCAAGCATGGTCATCATTTCCACGAGAATGGAGTAAATATGTACTTGACCAGAATCCCATTACCTTTAAACTCCCAGCCAGCCAACCACGCATGTCCTAGGCAGCGGGGGCTCGCTCAAAATCTTTTGCTCTCCCCTAGCAGAAACCACAATGCCATGATGTATCCATCCCAGGTGCAAAAGTCCCTTCACTCCGGCGCCGACCTTTCTTTCTTCAATGCTCATCCTACGACTCGTCCTCCGTATCCGTGTTGGTTGCGCTGGTATCGTCATCCTCTTCCTCACTATCACTGTCTTCTTCCTCAGAGTCGTCAACGGCCTTCTTCTTACGAGGCTTGGGCGCCGCTTGTCCGCCCTTGAGAGCCTGCATCTGGCCAGCGAGGGAATCTGTGGAATGTCAGTCACCATGCTATATAGGTCTTCTGGAGTAGGTTTACCCTCATCCGGTTCGCTGATATCGTCGTCGTCGGAAACCTTATTACCCTTGGCAGCATCCTCCACGTGCATGGTAATGTCGACACGGGTGTCGAAACCAACATAGGAGTCGCAGATCAGATGCAAGACAAACGTGTACTGGCCAGCCTGAGGTGGCGCAGCGAACTGGGCTTTCAGGGTCTGCACGGCAAATGTGGGCTTGCCCTGCTCGTCAAACGCCGGCTGGTCAAAGTGTGTAAAGGTGAATGGAGGCACAGCCATTTTTCCCTGCTTGGAGTCGCTCAAGAAAGCGTGCCATTTCGGAGGAGTGTCGCGAGGGTAGTATGGCGCAAATGTCAACGGCGGCAGAACCTTGTTCTCCTCAACCGTGATAGGCTTTCCATCGGGGCCCTTGACTGTCGTTTTGCGACCGGTGATCGCGTCGAGATCATCCTCGGCCGGGTCAACATCCTCGAGGTCCAGTTCGTTGACCTCTGGCACATTTTGGGTGCCCGGAGGAATGACACGGCCCTTCAGAACGAGACTAACCAAGGAGCTAGGGAGGACGCAGCGTTCTCCGGTAACCTTGAAGAATGCTTTCTCGAGGTGCAATAGGGGAAGCTGGCTCCCTACATTAAGGACAGTCTTGTACTGGTCCTCTGACAAGAGACCCTTGCCCACCGCCCGTCGCTTACGTTCCGCGTCTGGCAATCCCAGGAATTGCTGAACGCTAAGGTGGCTTCGCGAGTCGCCCTCGATGGCAGAGGCGATTTTGTTGTCCATATGCGGCAGTTGCAAGAGCGGCGAGGCGCCGGGTGCAAGAGCCTGGACGATGTACTGATTGGCCTCGAATGATGCGATGATGGGCTTGACATTACCGTAGGCCAGTGAAATGGCCGAGAAGGCGTCCCGTAATGCGCGAGCAACAGGAGCAACCTCGAACTTGGCTTTTGTCAGAGCAGCGTCGTCGAGCTGGATGCGGCCTAGGTATGCCCACAGAAGCGCCAGCGCCTTCCGCCTCGGTCCCTCGGACAGGTCCTCAAGCGCTTGCTTGTCCTTTGCACTAAAGCCGCAAGCAAATCGAGACTTGGTGGCATCACTGTCGGCAGAGATCCTAGACTCTATTCTCGATAGGCCCGAGTCTGCCTGATCGCCAGCGAACACTGTCTCGAACTCCTTGCCCGAGCTCAGGCTGTAGATGACATCAGAAAGCTGTGCCTCCTCGCGATATTCACGGAACAGGCGGTTGGCACTCTCCATGAGGACGCCCTCCTTGGACTTGCGCAGTGTGCCGTACCACCACGTGCCTACCAAGTAGGGGAGGAGAACACCGAGGAGCATGGCATACACCAAGACAACGTATTTGCCGTTGCCGTCTGAAATAATCCAAGTGGGAAGGGCGACTCCAATGCTGTAGCTCTGCTTGCCGTCCGGGTGGCCGTACTGAATGTAGTTGTTGCGCACCTCCTCATCCGTGAGAGCTTGGTAGGCCTTGGTGAGTTCGACGTAGTAATCGTTGAGCGTTTCAATGGTTTCGTTCTTGGCAGCATCGGGCCTCACTTTGTCGGGGTGGAACTTGAGCGAAAGGCGCTTGTAGTGCGACTTGATCTGCTTCTCCGTAGCGGACTGAATCGGTCAGGAGGGATGGACGAGTCAATCTGGAGGGGCTAGTTACTCACGTCTGCGATGCCCAAGATGTCGTATGGGTTCCAAATCTTGCTCGACGTGCGCGCGGTTGTCATAATCAGGTATACCATGGCACCCATGATCGCCCAACCCAGCAGGGTTACCAGCGCCCTCGTGACCTTTCTTTGCCTCCTCTTGTGGGCGGAGCGTAGTTTCTGGGCGGCATCGCCATCTTGAGGTTTGTAGTCGGTCTTGATGCGCGGCGCGAGCCTCTCGTCGTCTGTCGATTTTCGCAACAGCGTATACGTCAATGGCAGGGTCACAAGGCCGGTGACTGTGAGGACGAAGAACGGGAAGAACTGGCCCTGTGTTCATGTTAGTTGAGGGGGGATTCCGGTAGAATCTAGCTCCTGGGCAACGGCGCGAACCTGTTCATCGTACGAGTAGTCTGAGCTCATGTTTGCGGTAGAGCAGCTCAGTCCTAGCTCGGGAATAATGTGATGGGAAACCGAGAAAGTTGGTGAGTTGTCAAGATGCGGCAGGGAGACTGGAGTCGCCAGAGCCGTTGGAGGCAGATCAAAGGTGTCCTGAAAGTCAAGCAATGACGTTCGTGATTGGTCGTGCTTGAAGCCCCATGACCCACACCCCACCGACGTCAGGGTGCCTTCCAGCTCGCGACACCGTGTCAAAACGCCACGTCCTGGCATTATCATTGAATGTCTCCTAAAGTTCTAATTGATTCCAGTCTTGGGTTAAAACATTGCCAGGCTAAGACTGCTGCCAGCTCGCAAGGTTCTCCTGTATCTACTTGTAACTAAAAGCAGTCGAGTTTCATCATTCAACCCCCTGCGATTCCTCAGCATCCTCGTCGCTGTCGTTGTCCTCAAGCACTGTCATCTCTAGCCCTTTCGCGTTCTCCTTTATCAAACCAGTGTCCTCAACATCGGTGTCTTCCTCCGTCGTCATGCCTGTGCCGTTGTCGTCCACCAGAAGACTCCTCAAATCTTCCTCACTCATAATGTTATGTAAAGTGCGGTCTCTAATCCACGGACGGGTCTCTCGTCGTCCTTGTTCCACAAGCCTCTCCTGCTTGAGCCTGTTGGCAATGAACTTGAGTTTTGGGAATGCACTCTGCTTTCCTTCGTGGATCATGCGCGCGAGACGTGGCGGGTCGGGATCCGTCAAGAGGTGGATGAAGTCGGAAGGAATCGACTTGGGCCAAATGGTAATCGTACCGCTGAACTGCTGCAGCCACAACTGGCTCCAGTCCTGGCCCAGAGGACGTGGCAGGAGCTCGGCATGCCGGATGAACTTGAGCCACTTGTTCATGTCGAGCTTCAAGTAATGCTCAAAGGCTGACATGAGATAACCGCCCCGCCAGCCTCGGCCCTTGCGATGGGTGACAGGATGGCCCACTGAGCCCCTGGAAGAGAAGAAAAAGAGGTTGATATGTGGGTTCACCTGACTGACAATGGTGAAGTTGACGTTAAAGTGAGTGTTGAGAGCCTTGATCGGGATGTCTGTCCGGAGGCTCCCGTCCTTCCACTTGTGGCCAAATGAGTATGGCACTAGCGTCCCATCGCGAGTCTTCATCATGAGAACGACAGGGTTGAGAATGCCGGGTACAGCAGCTGAAGCCAGCACAGCCGACCAGATGACACAGTCTGGGCTTGTTAAATAGTTACAGAGGATCGTTGGCGAATGGGGGTCGGCTGGCACGCAGCTAACGTTGAGAATGCGACCTGTGCGTTCGTATGCTTCGCGAAACGTTGTTGAACCTCGACACCACCAGCTACAGCGGTCCGCCCAGTCAACAGAGTCAAACCGAGCGCCGGTTCTCCACCATCGAGGAAGCCATGTTGTGATACCTTCGCCGCAGGCATTGATCTTGAATGCAAGCGCAGGTACCAGCAGTTTGTCGAGTTCCTCGTTTGTTCGGGTCGCAATAAGAGCCGAAACCAAGGCCCCGCCACTGGTCCCTGTGATGATGTCGGGCAGGAGGTCCGCGTCTAGGAGTGCTCGGGCTACTCCAATATGGTAGTAAGCGAAGGCGGCACCTCCAGACAGACAGAGTGCAGTGCGGCCAAAATTTGCATTGACGTGTTTGAAGAGATCTCGCTTCTCGTCCTGGGTTAACTGTTTCGTCTTTAGCATGAACTTCAGGCTCTTCTCAGCTATGGAGGTCAACGATCTAATTTGTGAGGCAAGATTCGGGGCGACTTACTCTCGTCCACAAAGTTCTGGACCAGATTCTTCGTGCCGTAATACGTCTGGCTGTAGAGTCGAGCGTTTTCGACGCCAACAAAGTTATTCTTGACGCAGGCCTCGATCAAAGCTCTCAGCTCATCAACCGTTTTACCACCATCACCTTTTCCCTTCTCGAGGCCCTCTGCCTTGGCTCTCATCTTTCGCATCTGCTCCCAAACCTTTCGCACGCTCTTGTGGTCGTAGTAGGCATATGAGTTCTCCTCCTTCCATGCTTGCCGTCCCAAGTAGCCATCCAACTCCTTCGCAGCGGCTACCCAGTCCTTGTAGTTAGCGGTTCGGCGCATATTGCTCCGGAGCTGCTGTCGCTTCCCTCGCCACGTGAAGAATTGTTCATAGACCCAAATGTACAATCTCGTTGACAGGTAGGCCAGGCCGAGACCTGCAAGCCAGGCAACGACAAACAAGAGCAGCGGCCACTTCAGTAGTTGGTAAAAGTAGCCTTCTCTTGTTTCATCTTTCGTCCGCGTCCCCAGCAGACCTTCGACGGCCCCCTTCGCAGCGCCATTCCGCCTCCGCTTGGATCCTCGCTTGTTTTTGTAGATTTTTGAGTTGACAGGGGCCCAGTCGTTCTGGGCGGTAATAAAGGTAGGTGCGGTGGGCGTCTGGGCTCCATCCTGTCCAAAGCCGTCTGATGCGACAGCCCCGACATCCTCCTCGAGTCCGCTACCGACCTGGCTATTGCGCTTCGTGATGGCCGGGGATGGACTGCGCAGCGACGAGCGTAAGCTCGCAGTCTCGTCTACAGGACTTTGCAGAGGGTCGGGTGCCTGCAGTGCACGCTCGAACGCACGAATGTCTTCCTGATCCAAAAATTTGACGTTGACATCGGGTAGAAGAGAGGTGTCGAAAGCTTCGGGCGGGAACCCATAGTTCGGGGTATCGAAGAGCCGGAAGGGCTCTTGTGGGAATGACATGGTCGCGATAGTCGAACCGCCTTTGTAGCCCACTAGTTAGACAGCGCACATAATTGTCGCCCAAGCGCTCGATCTTTTCCTCGGAATCTGGTCGTTTCGGTTCAAGTTGGGTTTGCGCGGAGGGTGGCTCACGTGTAGAGGGTGTGATGACGTACACGGCACGCGGTATGGCGCTCTTCTGGTGGAGTCGCCCACCGGACTCCATGGACTCCATGTCATCCAGTGCCCCTAATCATCTTTGAAGCGGTATAATGCCCGAAATTGACTAAATGAGACCAATCATTGGAGCAGGCCCAAGCTGATACTTCATACGCCCTATGCTTTTTGTCTGTTCCTGCAGCTCTTGCGTCGGGCTGTTCTGACTTCCGGGTGAGCAGTCGCGAAGGCGCTATCTACTTGGATAGGTCGTTGGCCCCCTGGATGGTCTGGTTGAGGTCGCTCAGGGCGCCTACGATGGCCTTTGTCATTTCCTCCGCGGCTGCACTCTGAGCTTATGCAGCTATCTCGGTGGCTTCCTCCAAAGCGGCCAAGCCCATCATGAAAGTGACTGCGTGACCTTGCGCAACAACGTCTGTCTGACTTGCGCCTCCAGCCGGCCTCCTGAAGTTGTAGATCGTCGTTTCTATTGTCTTCAAGCTTCTTAGCGATTGTCAGAGAAACGCACTGGACTCGCCTTCATATGATCACTGACCTGTTGTGCCCTCAGAGCTTTCCTCTGCTGTTTGCCCCTGCGACGGCACCTCTGGCGCTCCCTTCGGGTTAGAAACTTGGGCTTCAGGCTAATCGAAGAGAAAAAATTGATCGTCAGGAGCACCATCACTGGCTTTGGGGAGGCCGACCTTGGAGTCTCCGACTCTCGCGTCTTTCAATTATCATTCTGGTCATTATCCAGTGTAACATTCATCTGGCTGTTTTCTGCGTCTTAGACGTCTCGTCCTGAGTTACAGACAGGCCCTCGATTTCTTCTACGGCGCGCTTCATGCCGAGCCGAGAAGCCTGTTCAGAGGGGGGCAGAGCCGCGAATCATCCGCGGGTATCTTTCCGAGTATCAGCAGTATACGGTCGGGGCAGCTTTTGTTACAGTACCGAGGACTTCAGGCAGCCCAGAGCTGCCGTAAACCCCTGCTACGACGGCGCAAAGTATACCTGAAAGCACCATTTTGTTGCCTGGGTTGTCTACTCCTACCGGGGGTTCGGATGCCCGGATGCCATATAGTAGGTCAGAGCAGGATGGCCAAATCTTAGCTACCCGTTCGTGTCCTTGTTCGTCAGGACAATATTCTCCTGCCTCAAATCAGCAAATCTGGGACGCATAACGCCGCACGTACCTGGCCTAGTCTCCTGGCTAAAGTCCTGTCCCGATGCGCATGGAAGCAATCATACGAAAATGTTTGGAAAATGAAATACCCTCTCCCGATATCCTCGACATCTTTTGTCAGCGATCCATCATCCGACCGTTGATCCGTCATGCCTCTCGCGCGAAGGCAAACTACCTAGTCTTATTTGGTCCGGCGTAGTGATTTAGTCCTGGTAGTTCGGCAAGGGGAGGCCGTTCAACTGTCCACGGCAGCTCGGAAGGAAATAAGGGGCTTCTGCCACTGTATACAACCCATAGAGCAGTAGTTTGCCTTCGCGCGAGAGCCGTGGTTCTTAAACCGCTGAAGAGGAGTATCAAGGACGTTGGAGCATTCAATCTTGTTTATAACACTTTTCACGTTGATTGCTTGCACACGCAGAGAGCGGGCGCAAGGACGACATTGTTCATCGCAGAGTTGTAAGTTCAATAACCATCAATGGCGTAGACGCTGCTCAATTTGGGGCCTTATCAATGAGAAACTCTCGGTCTTTTCTTGGCAGTGGTACGAAGAGGGACAATGCCACCGGTAAGTACTCTGATCCGGTGATGGGATGGCTCCTCTTGATGCGCAGTCTACACTATCGAAGATGAATACCTGATTCCATTCTAAGAAAAGGAAAAAGACATCGAATGTATGAACCGAATCGCACGTATCACATTTTGCTCCCAAGATTGATATCCTAGCAAGATTGTCGATTAATGAATTGCACCTATGCGTTCCCTGAGTATCATGTCATTCGTCCGCCTCCATGCCTATGTGTCCGCTTCGTCGTTCTGATGTTGTCTACAGCCCCGATCAAACGTATTGCGACAGCCATCTGATAGCCTCGCCATATCCAGAGCGACAGACCACGGAGCACATGAAGACCTCCAAGGGCCTGATTCCCTCGAGAGGAACCTTGCCCTTGCCTGTTGTTTGATACAGCCCCAGCTCGTGCCTAAGGGTATCCTCGGATACTGCATCAGGGTGATCGATTTTATTGCCAAGAATGACAAAGGGAACATTGGATAGTTCCGAAATCGATAAGAGTGCATCGAGCTCTGCCTTTGCCTCCGCGAAGCGCTCGGTGTCCTTGGCATCGATCAAGAAGACGACACCGTTGACTTCGGGAAAGTAATCACGCCAGATGCGACGGGCTGTATTTGTTTAGTTGCGTTGCTTGACCGCTTTCTTTGTTGATCACGACATACCCTGCTGGTGACCTCCCAGGTCAAAGGTTGTGAAGCGGACATTGCCGATGGCGAGCTCCTCGGATGCTAAATGAAAGTCAGGATGATTATTCTCTATCGGTTCGACGACGGCTGGACTGACTCGGGTGGAGAGTGGGCTGGAGAATAGCGACGCGGTCGTTCTGGTAGTCCAAGGTCAGTACGCGAGTCTATCCCAACAACACCCCGACAGGGTTTCCCGGAAGCGCACCTTGAGCATGTGTAGGAGCGTCGTCTTGCCAGCGTTGTCGAGACCGAGGAAGAGGAGCTTAGCATGCTTGTTCAGCAAGCCAAGCGAGGAGAGAACATCGTAGACTATCAGATCCATGTCAGTCCGTCATCGTTTCCCGTAACGCAGCCCGTCGGCTCAAGATGGTGCCTACACCAGTTGACAATCCACATGATGGCGGCGTGCTCGTATAGAGTGTCGATTTGATGTGCTGCGTCACAATGGTTCGTTGTAAAGCGTTGTGGTGGTTCTTGTTGAATAGGCACGAGGTGGGATGCGGGAGGGTGACTTAGCGATCATCTCGAAAGCTGGCCCGACCTTCGGTGGGTGCCTTACAAATGGGGCATCAACAACTGACAACCTCAACCACCTCAGCACACTACATAGACAGCATGAACGCTGAGTTCACTATTTCCACACGATTGCATGTGAAGGCACTTTATTACGAGTCTATGCAAAAAAATACAAAAGAACAGATTGGTAGCTAACATGCATAACAGCACTTTCCTTTGCCTGACCCAAGGTTCACTTAATCACTGACACAAGTCAAGGTAGTACAGAGTCATCATCGGTCTATTTGGTATCCCTTAAATACTCTAGTGATCGATCGCAAAGTGAACGCCTGAAGGAATCCCACATTCCCGGGGTATCCAAGTGAATGCTGACTGGCACCTGACGGCCACCACTCCGGGTGGTCCGTGACATAATTCGATATGTAAAATGAACTGCCACCAGTATATACCATGATAAAAATGCAGCAGTCATCAAATTGTCCTGTGCGCCGATTCTTGCTGTGAATCTCGGTCCAACGCCGGAACCTTGCTGGACAAAGAAAATTAAATAGAAAGCACATAATTGCCTTGGTCTTTCTTGCCAGCCATGAGCAGACCAAGTTCTTTCATACGCTCCGCGCCGTGGCCTGGCTTCTGCGGTTTGCGCTCGGGGATTTGCCCCCGACGGGCTCGATTGCAATATTTCTGGTAAAACTTCTCCTTGCGGCGCTGACGCTTTCCCTCGAGGCCTTTGACAATGTCGAGTGCTCCTCGCACATGAATGTCATCGTCCTGTGCGAGTTTGGGGTGGTTGCGGAATTGCTTCACAAACCCAGCGCCAGGCCGAGGCAATGATTTGGTGGTCGTTAACCCGGGGCGCGCGGCAAGGTTGAACTTTACATGGTTACCTAGACGCGGGGATCCTTGAGGTGTGATCATCGCCTTAGGAGCAGGAGAGCGTATGCGCCGTGGCGAATGTACATCGAACAGAAGTTTGGGGGATCTGCCTCGGGCTCTGGGAGCCGGCGAGACGTGACGCTTAGGTGGAGGAGTATGGCATTTTCGGGGTGATGCAGCACCACTCTTGCGGGGGCGGCGGGAACGGTCTTGGTCGTGGTGCAGATCTTCCATCGCACCAGGAAGAAAGTCCTCATCATCGCTGTCGTGGTGCACAGGGTTGTACAAGTCCTCGTCCTCATCCTCAGGATCCGAGGCCGGGAAGCTGGGATCAATGTCCTGAGGAATGACGCGAAGCTTTTCGTTGCGACGCGCAGCCATGCAAGACAGATAAGCCTCCTCGAGGGGGCGATCTTCGTCGAGAGTACCACATACAAAGTCGGTGCTGTCGGGGAGGTCGACGGTGGGCTGCTGGGGCTTGATGCGCTGCCTCTTTGAACGACGGACGCGCGGGCTGCCGGTCGTAGTGGAAGAATCAGAAGGTTGATCCTGCAGTGAGGGACGTCTAGCGAGAGTAATGGGAGGTGTAGGCCGAATGGCCGGACTCTTGCTCAGCGTCCACATGACCATGTTCCCATCCTCCTCCACGTCAGAGTCGTCTGACGAGGCAAAGCCCGTCTCCTCATCAGTGTGATAGCCCTCAGACAGATCGAAATCATCTGCCTCCTCTGCGAGATCGTCCTCGTCAGATTCGGAGTCATTGTCAGAAGCGTCATCATCCTCATCGTCTTCATTCTCCTCGCCAGAGTCGTCTTCATCCTCGCCTTGGCTGCCAGAGGCGTCATCAGCGCTGCCAGCTTCCAGTTCGTCTTCTTCCTCAGCTTCCTTGGCGATACGGCGGATGCGGTTCTCCTTGGTCAAAGTGTCATTGATCGTGAGCTTGCACTTGGCACCAGAGGTATCATGTCGGATCCAATCGTCATCACGAGTCTTCTCAGAAGCAAATTCGTGGAAGTGCGAACCATCATCTGCCAATTCGACAGGCTTGGCATTGATAAACTTGGGACGTGACGTCTTGGTTCCGCTGGAAGACTTGCGATGGCTGCTGGACGGCCTGGGCGTGGCCATGCCGGTCGACGTGACAGAGGACTTGCGAGGAGTCGAAGGAGACCGGGATTTCCGGGCTTGCGGGGAGGAAGGGGGTGTTGCCTTGCGAGCCAGTGTAGTTTGCGAAGTAGGCTTCGCTTGGCATGCGAATTTAATGCAAGGTCGACGAGGGGCCTCTTGGCCTGATGGTGCCCTTGCCGGCGCGGGGCGCTCTGATATGGTTGGCCTTGCATTGCAAGCAAATTGAATAGACCGCTTTCGAGGTCCTTCATCATTTGAGCTGGTATTGGAAGGCAGGCCTGCTCCTTGTTTCGTCTGCGCCGTGTTGCCGTGGCCGACGAAAGAGATACGTTTCGTCGGGACAGGTCCTGTGCGCAATTGCGATACGACAGTGCTGGGTGGAGGTGGACTAGGCGTATTGGTGCGAGCTGGGCTGGTGAGGCCGGTGTCACTCGTTAAGTCTGCAGTTGAGGCAATGCTAACGTTGCTTGCCATAGAACGTCGACGATTGTAGTCGGGGATCGCGCGGTTTCCGTCGTGGACTTCGTGCTCCGGAGACCCCATGATCGCTTTCGTCAAAAGCGATGTTTTCTCGCTGGGTTGCTGCACAGGTGCTCTTCGAAATTGTTGGGGACTATTTCGCGAACATTCTGGTTCAGGAGGCTCGTCCACATCCTCGACCTCATCGGTACTAGACGTAGCCCATGAAGGCAGGCGCCACGATATCGAAGATAGGCCCACCATTTTGAGATGCCTGGACGGAATATATGGAAGTTGTGTAGAGGGATTCGCTTTTGGCCGGCGTATCCGTGTGTTCAGTTGATTTGAAAGAGGTGTTTGCCTACGAAGGCGTCGCGATTATGGTATCACAGCGTTGTCGTCCCGTGGGGACTCTTTGGCTATAACTCCAAGGCCAGCATCGTCGTGGCCTGAAATGGTTGTTCGAGAGGTGTTATTAGGTCAATAGGGGTGAGACAGGTGTCGGAGTAAGAGTGTGGACGCTGGTTGCCGTCGACAATGTTTGATGATGTGAACTTGAGTCGCAGAAGTGGCAGTGCTTTGAAAATAGGGTCTCAAATCCGGCGTTGAAAGCGGGCGCTGGCGCAGGTCCCAGTGTCCAAGGAAGGGCGATCTGCTGTGCCGCGGAATGCGTGGAGGTCGTGAGGCAGAGCGCTTGGCGTTGATGACGTGCAATGCGGTTCCGGAGTGACTGGATAGCCGACTGTAGTGGCGAAACCGAGTCACCAAGGCACGTCCCTGTTAAATGGCCTTGCTAATGGGTACCCTTTGTCTCGTTGGGACAATCACCTTAAATATCGATGTCAAAGGACTCGCAAGTTCGTAGAATTGCTCGGCCAAGAAGCAGAAGGCAGCACTGCGACCGACGACAAGGTGATGGAACGGACGGATAAAGTCAGTGGGTGCGATGACCCAGACGAGCAAAACTCGCCTTGCTTTGCAGCAACTGACCCGAGGATATAAAAAAACGTTGACAGAACAGTAATTAAGAATGAGTACGCAAAAGGGTGAGAAGAGGAGGAGATGAGGGCCGGTGGTTATACACGCCCAAAACTGGAGAGCCGAGCGGTCGCGAGTGCAAGTGAGACACAGACAGGGCAGGGCTGGGCGAAGGTAAGTGAGTGGATAATTCTGCAGGTCAAGGTGGTGCTTGGAGTTGGAGGGAGTACGTACATTCCGTTCTCACTGAACTTATCCACTTTAATACAGAAGAGAAAGAAAAAAAGCTTCAACTGGCCCAAGATGCCTGGCTCGAGTTCATGAGCAACGCCAACAACCACAAAAGGCGCATTGTGGAGGCCGCTGGCGGCTGGCCTGTGGCCGTTGGGGCAATGAATAGGCTGGTCTAGGCTTGGCACCGCGTTGCCTCATCTGAAGGCTTCGCCGTCAGTTTCGTTGTCACCAAGGCGGATGGGGCGTTTCTTTGCATTCAGGCCGCCTTCATTGGTCAGACCACTTCTTGATGATTTTTCTCGCGCTTCCGAGACTCGCGAAACAGATTCGGGAAACGTGCATGCCGCTAATAATACTGGAGGCCACAGTGCTGTGTACAGTAAGAAAATATTCAAATCACACTGTGCGTCTCTCCCGTCAGCAGACCCTTCTTGGCCGGAATGTCATACGAAGCACCAAAAACGCCTAGCTGTCTCCGCAAATTAGCGGCCGATGCGGCCCTGCACTGTGCACCGACGACTCGCGTTCTCCCTGAGTCCTTGGCGTCTCCTGCAGGAAACAACGTCGAAATTGACAGTCAAATGAAGACAGTCATCTTTAATTAGCCCACCCGCGTCGATCCTCGCGACTCATGGACAATGGATCATCAAAAAGTAGGCAGGTGCATTGCTTTTGAACAAACGCGTCTGTCGAGTTGCGCCTGATGCTACATTCTGGCCTTGCTCAGCAGAAGTTGAAGAGAATCTTGTCTGACAATGAAAAGGTACCCCCACATGCTGGCTTGCTGCAGCCTGCAAGCGCCTCCCAATGACCATTTTTGGCAGACAAACCCCTCATATCTAAGGTAAGGTAAGTAAGGGAGTACGTTGTATAACTATCACATGGCACAAACGTCTCTGTACGTAGACACAGAGACAGACACAAATGAAGCGGAATTGTGGTCTTGCACAGATGTTGCAGAATGACATTGCAACAACAAAGCGACATCGCGCCAGTGTCCGCATAACTCTAGTCGTTATCAATTTGGTCGGCCGGAACATTTTCAAATACAGGCCAGCAACAGAACACTTCCATCTTTCAGCAGGCGTTTTGTTGTCGCAAGCTAAAATCATCACAGGGAAGTACTAACTAAGCAAGTCAAACTTGACTCCTCAATAGTAATACCCTCTGGCGTGAAGGTCCGCGTCGACACCAGCTCGTTGGTTTAAACAAAGGCCCTTGGAACCAAGGTGCCATTGATGCAGCGACTCTGAATGGTTCGCCAAACCGACGAATTCTCCGCCTTGGCAATGCTGTGCACCTGATGATACTCATGCATGTAGCTCGTTTGCGGCTACCATTGCGTCCACCAAATGCCCGCCCAAGGAGCGCTGCTTTACATAGAAGTTATCATTGGCAATCCCATGACGGGTACCCGTACACGTTGATTATCGAAGGGTCCTGTCACTTTCTCGGATCCAGCTACATCGGGTCTACCACATAGAAGAGTAATCTCTTTGGCATCTGTGCCTACGGAGCGACAGGCGTAATCTGGAACTTGAATGTCTTTGGTCGGCGATGCTTCAATCAAATACCGGGCGCAGCCACGAGATACGGTACAGCGTGTTATGAGCCCCATTGATGGCACTTTGTCTCAGATCATGCGTCGCCAAGGCAGCTTGACGTCGCCCACGACAGTTCTGCAGGTCGACACGTACTCGTCCTTGTAGTAGACCCTTGACGATACAATGCCGACCCCCAATGTTGACAATCGCATACTCCGTAGACCCCGCATTGTTTCAATCGACCATGCTGTACGATGAGGTAAAATGGATTCGGGGTGTGCTAGCACGGCAAACACGGCGGCGCGAGGCATACTATGTTGTTCGTGGAGATGAACAGTTCTGTTCACGCAAGAAGCAAGTATGAGCACATCGTACATGTGATACTTATCAGAACGTTGAAGCTTTGTCGACAAGATGACATCCAGAATCCATCAAGAGTTGAGGAAGATGAAGGCTGCCCGCGCCGAGGAGAATTGAGCGCATGTAGTCTCATCAATCACACCAAAGCTTCAGCGTGATGGTTGCGGTGTCCAGTCGTTGGACCACACACGATGGCCATGAGCAGAAGAACAGCAATGCGCAAGTGCTCACAAACGCTACTATAGTCGACACCATTCAGGCGTCTCGTATCCGTACTGTATCCACGGCGCAGTCTATTATATGCGGGCTGGTTCAGGCTTCTTGTACATGCCATTTCATCTCGCGCCTGGCACTGAAAGCTTCATCTCAAAGCATGCTTCCATTTTCTTTTTAGAGTTATCGTGATTACTTGCTTTTGCGTCTTGGTATGCAGCGGTTTGATATACCTAGGCATGCATTTCGCAAGGGCAAAGGGCGGAGCAGAGCCCCCGGACAAGTCGAGCGCTTTACTCAACTCCCAGTCATACACAGTTGACTCTCACCGCTCTTCAGTGTGATTCAGTATTCATGCAAAACGACAGAGGTTGGACCAAGCAGGAATTCCACCTTGTGCATTCTCATATACCCTCATCAGAGCCGGGTCGCACCTTGTATCAGATCTCATGACCAGGGCCTAGGAGTGGCACTGCTAATTACTATCACTGGTTGACATTTCCATGCCTTTGATGTTGATCCCTTCACCTCGCCGCCTCACAGTGTACGTCACGAAGATCTGTGAGCTGATTCTTGCTGCGCGACTTGGCGGGCTATCAGTTAGCGCCGTACTAACTACTCAGAGATGGTCCAAAGACGATGCGCTGGTGAGTGGGGATTTGCTGACATTCTGCCAGCGCCATCAGATGATGTAGGCGATCACTTTCTCTTGACAAATGATGATCAACCTCAAGATTTGGCAAGTCCAAAAGGTGGACACCGAGGCCTGCGGTATCCTCAAGATAGTGCTAGGCGCTGCGATGTTATCGCGGGTGGCCCATCCTTACTCGGCCTCTCGATAGGTGGGCACAAGTCTTCCGCATTGTAGGAAAGAAGTGGCGAGGAAATACACGCAAACGCAAGCGTCAGGCAGTATGTATGCCCATTCGTGTTGTAACCGGTGTTCGGCATGGTCCAGGCAGACTGAACGTTCATCAGCCACTGTCGCGGGCGTATTGTTGTATGCACAGATACATCCCCGACTCCCGACCGCGTAGGGTTGGGCGCGAGGAAGACGGTCTACGACAATCAACCCCGACAACTTCGAAGCGGGCCAAAAGTATGTGCGTCGAACCCAGTGTGTGGCGCGTTCGAAGGTTACTGTAGAGTCACTGAAAATTTGCGATTTTGATTGAGCTTCTGAGCTTCTGGTTGCTGCTGTTGATGTTGTTG